AGTCTTCGCAGATGCAACCAAAATCTTTGCAACCAAGCGGAGTAAAAGAGAAAAAGGAGTACAACGCGAGTTTTCCCTTTACATTTTCTAGGAATAGTCATCGTCCGGTCTTTTACAGTGTATTGGCAATTTTTGTGGATTTTGGATTTATAAATCGTAAGTATAGCATGAGTATATTAATGAAATGATTCCTTAATGAGAAAGAAATTTTTGAACAAATTATAGTGCAAATTACAATTAGTACAAGTTATTAACAAATTATAATGGTTTTTATTTGGATCCGCCGCTGTGGCCGTGGGTTTCCGAGAAAACCGCTTCCCAGGGCCGGGAGGCGGATGCAAATGCGACATTAAAGATGGAGCGATAGATACTTTGATAGAATTTGCTACAGATGATGAATGTAAGGAGCCCATTGCGAGTAATTTATTTCCATTATGCATTTTAAAAAATAGTGCTCCGTTCCATGTTCTGGTTATGGTGCATGGCCGCTAAAAGAAAGCAGTTCTTGATCTATGATATTCTAGCTTATCTTGCGTGCCTAAAACGCAATAGCGGCTAATACAACATTTTTTGATCTTGATCAGCCAGAGAAGATCTCGTGTTTCAGTGGTTACAGCCGAGAACAAGAAATATCTTGCTAAGGAAATCCAACAGAAATTCGAAGGATTCAAGGTTTGTAATAGTATTTGATCATTGAGACTTATATGTGAATATACAAGCTGTTTTCTTGATACAGTCAATTTCGTACTTTCCAACCAATTAAGCCATCTATGTTTCAAGCGCAAGCTATATTTTGGTTGAAGTTCACTTAAAGGCAGCGTACACCCAAAACAAATGCAACAGATGTTGCAACAGCAACTGCAACTGCAATTGCAGCTTACCCTGTTATGGATTCGTCCGGAAGAGGCGGAGCGAAAGAAAAGAAGCGGCGTGAAAGAAAATTGAGGGGGGTTTTCTCCGCTCAGAAGCAACATTAGGAGACCGGACCAACGCAGTTGGTCTTCTTCTGGGCCCCAGTATATACACGGTGTAAAAAGATCAAGGAAATTCGGTAACTCAAATTTTGGGTGTACGCTGCCTTTAAGAGTTCAATCACTGAACGATAATATGCTCTCTGAAAAGTGCTGCTTTACTATCGCGTTAATGTTTTGTTTGAAAACTAATGCTGTGTAAAAAGCATATCCATTCCAGTTTTGTTCCAGTTTTTAATCTCATATCTACGTTCTCATAAATCAGCCCTCAATCCTCTCGCTGAGAGCATTGAGCTGGAGTGAATCTCTAGAAGTAAGCCCATCACTAAGCTGTGGCTCCTTCAATAATCCTTTCCATTCTGAAAAAATCGCTGTAGCTTCAAAATGTTTTAGCCCTTGGCATTCCTATACGGGGATCATGATCCTAGGAGTTGCTCATCATAGCATAACTGCTTCCCAAAACCGTCCGGAGGTTGTAAGTGCAATGTTGATATGGGATTTGAGGAAGAAACTACGGAAGAATTTTTTAGCGATGCTGATTGCAAGAAAAGCATTGATAGTAAGTCTCAGATTAGAATAAGAGGTCTAAATCACGTTTATTTTGCTGCATCTGGTGGTTGATGATGAGCCTTGATGTAGGGCATTTTTTCAAATTTCTAAATCACTATTTTAGGACAAAGGCCGAAAATAAGAAAGAGTTGAATGAAGAGATTAAAGAGAAATTTGGAGATTTCAAGGTAAATTTATCGATTTCGTGAATTTTAATTCTGAAGTTAGCCTGGCTATCCACACTAATTTAGGAAAACTGCTTCCCAAAGCCAGCTGGGGGATGCAGATGCAACGAGGGGACGCACAAGGAAATGAGGTTGTCACCGCCCCGACGACGCAGCTCAGTGCAGACTCGTGGGTTTTACCGTATGCACCCTTTTTCGCCTTTATGAAGAGTACTAATTTTTGCATTCTTTTGTCTTTCCTTTGTCTTTTGTTGAGAAGCAGAATCAAAATTGATATCTTAGCGTTCCAAGCGTGGCGTAGGAACGACTGTCCAACGATAACCAACTACGATTAACCAGCCAGCGCAGAAATACCGTGCTCGCGATCAACCGACCCAAAATGTTCGCGATCCGCGAAGGGACCGGGATGCAATGCTGCTTAGAGTATTCACTTCTCAGTGTGTGTACCTCTTTGTTAAACATTTTCTGCAGTTCAAGTATCATCAAGTTGCCATTGCATTACCTCTTTCTGTTTTACTCAGTTAAGTTGCGAAAAACCTAATTCCCATACAACGCACCCAGCTACTGTTAAGAACAATCACGCGGAAAGTGTGAAAAGGTACAGTAAATATTAGGTTGTTGCAAAAATAATGTCCGTTCTTCTAGACCTATATTTCAAACAACTTTTTTCCGTCAAACTTTTTATTACGATATAGAATCTGCATATCATTGGAAAGCTCTCTTCATGTAATTTCTAACGGTGGAGGAAATAAGCTGCTATCCTCATCTGTGAGAATTTCACCAGCATTTTGCACATCCGCAGTCCAAATCGAAATCTCATAGCTTTCAGTTTCTTGACCACAATTCAGGAGCAAATATACGAATTCATCTGAAAACATAGCAACTGTATTAGATGAAGATTGTTTACCTACTGCATGCTCATCTAGACTTTTGGAGATATCTGGATTGAGAAATTGACGCCTTGAAATAGATACTCGCTGCTGGCATTCTATGAGTCAGAAATTTCTCGTAATTGAGGCAATCGCCAAAGCTTCGCTCATTTCTGTAAGCTTTAGATAAGCACACCTGAACTACAATATCTGAGGAAAAACTTAGCCATTCAGTGCGCGAAGAATTCCAAATTTGCATAATTTGCCACTCACAAGCCTACAAGAAACAGGCTTGAAAAAGTGAACATTTTTGAATTTTTGACTTTTCTTTTCGCACAACTCCTTCTTTGGAGTCTTTTCTATACATACGTAAACTCGTGGCCTGCGGCTACAAAATAAGCTGATTGCCAGCCATACGAACAAAACTTGAAGGGAATTGTAAGCTCTCGAGAAAGAGGTTTTCAAAAGAAAAACTTCCACTTTTTTGACGCATGGTTTTCTTTTCGTTTGCGTTATCAGTACGAGCAGGTGTGCGCTAAGTTACGAAAGGTTTGCTGTTTCTGATGGTCCTGACTGCGTTCAAAAATTTGAAGACTGAACGAAGTTATAACCTTCCAAAGTGAAAATTTGCAAAACGGACATTATTTTTGCAACAACCTAATAATTAGTTGCGAAACCCGGGGCAACAAAAAAGACCGGAGGCTTAGTGGTCTATAAGATTAGGAAAAACTACAAAGACCCAAAATTGATGACAATGAGGGATTACTGGGAATTTATGTCCTGAGTTGAATGTCATATGACTCACAAATGGGCAAATATTTTTGGCCTAAAAACTTCGTTCTTTGCATGAGAGAGATAATGAGAGCTGGAGATTGCTGCTTATCATATAAGTCATTAGTATAGAAATATTGCGTTCAAATTTTAGAGACAATAGATGGAGCGGAATTTCCTCAAACCGCTCAAAAATTCATTAAAAAAACAACACAAAAATAATAATAGCACAAGTTTCAACCCTTAGAAAACATAACTGTTCCTTAAACTCCAACTCTAAAGTCTGACACCAAATTCTTAGTTATGATTTCAAAATTCCGTATATTTAACTAGTAAAAATTGTGTGGTAGTATTCTGAGTGGTTACGGCATTTCGAGTTCAAAATTTGTACTTTCTCTAAAAACGCTAGAAAAAGTTCTGTGGTGTCTTTGGGTATTAGCAGCAAGTCAAAAATTGTAATTCTTCTAGAATACGTTAAAAAAGTCGTCATTAACGACTTTGAGTGATCACTGCCTTAAATTCAAACGAAAAGGTAAGAGTTTAGAAGAATGAAGTAAGCAACTGACATCAGTTGCCTTCTAAACATTTCTTACCTTTTCGCTTGTATTCGTCTTAAGAAATTTACGTTCGTTAAATATAAGGCAGTGATCAATCAGAGTCACTAATGACGACTCTTTTTAACGTATTCTAATGAATTACAATTTTTGAATTTGACTTGCTGCTAATATCCAAAGACACCACACAACTTCTTCTAGCGTTTTTAGAGAAAGTACAAATTTTGAACTCGAAATGTCGTAACCATTCAGAATACTACCACACAATTTTTACTAGTTAAATATACGGAATTTTGAAATTATAGCTAAGAATTTGGTGTCAAACTGTAGAGTTGGAGTTTAAGGAACAATTATGTTTTCTGAGGGTTGAAACTTGTGCTATTATTATTTTTTGATTCTGTTGTTTTTTTTTTCAAATAAATTTTTGAGCGGTTTGAGGAAATTTCGCTCCATCTATTATCTCTAAAATTTGAACGCAATATTTCTATACTAATGACTTATATGATAAGCAGCAATCTCCAGCTCTCACTATCTCTCTCATGCAAAGAAGTTTTTCCTAATCTTATAGACCACTAAGCCTCCGGTCTTTTTTTGCCCCTGCGGGTTTCGCAACTATTCATTTACTGTACTTTTTCACACTTTCCGCGTGATTGTTCTCAACAGTAGCTTGGTGCATTGTATGGGAACTAGGTTTTTCGCAACATAACTGAGTAAAAGAAACAGAAAGATGTAATGCAATGGCAACTTGATGATACTTGAACTGCAGAAAATGTTTAACAAAGTGGTACACACACTGAGAAGTGAATACTCTAAGCAGCAGGACATCCCGGTCCCTTCGCGGATCGCGAACATTTTGGCTCTGTTGATTGCGAGCACGGTATTTCTGCGCTGGCTGGTTAATCGTAGCTGGTTATCGTTGAACAGTCGTTACTACGCCACGCTTGGAACGCTAAGACATAAATTTTGATTCTGCTTCTCAACAAAAGACAAAGGAAAGACAAAAGAAAACAAAAATTAGTACTCTCCATAAAGGCGAAAAAAGGTGCATACGGCAAAACCCACGAGTCTGCACTGAGCTGCGTCGTCGGGGCGGTGACAACCTCATTTCATTGTGCGTCCCGTCGTTGCATCTGCATCCCCAGCTGGCTTTGGGAAGCAGTTTTCCTAAAATTAGTGTGGATAGCCAGGCTAACTTTAGAATTAAAATTCACGAAATCGATAAATTTACCTTGAAATCTCCAAATTTTTCTTTAATCTCTTCATTCAACTCTTTCTTATTTTCGGCCTTTGTCCTAAAACAGTAATTTAGAAATTTGAAAAAATGCCCTACATCAAGGTTCAACATCAACCACCAGATGCAGCAAAATAAACGTGATTTAGACCTTCTTATTCTAATCTGAGACTTACTTTCAATGCTTTTCTTGCAATCGGCATTGCTAGAAAATTCTTTCCTAGTTTCTTCTCCAAATCCCATATCAACATTGCACTTGCAACCCCCGGATGGTTTTGGGAAACAGTTATCCTATAACAAGCGGCTCTCGGAATTATTCCAGAATGGGAGTGCCAAGGGCTAAAATATTTTGAAGCCACAGCGATTTTCTTAAAATGGGGAGGGATTATTCGCAGAGCTACGGCTTAGTGACGAGCTTATGAGATTTATTCCAGCTCAACAGTTGCAACGAAGAGATTAAGGGCTGCTATCGAGATTTATGGGAATGCAGAGATGAGAGCAAAAACTGTGGATCTGCTTTCTGCAGAGATGGCTCGATCGGATGGAGAGTACCGTGACTGTGTTTGAAGAAAACAGCATGTACATTCACAAGAAGTTTGACGTCAATTATCAGATAATATCACAAACCTTGAATCCTCCAAATTTCTGTTGAATCTCCTTAGCGAGATTCTTCTTATTCTCGGCTGTAACCACTGAAACACGGGATGTACTCTGGCTGATTAGAACATGGAACCGAGCACTATTTTTAGAATGCATACTGCGAGTAACTTACTCTCAATGGGCTTCTTGCATTCATCATCTGTAGCAAATTCTATCAAAGTATCTATCGCTCCATCTTTAATGTCGCATTTGCATCCGCCACCCGGCTTCATGAAGCAGTTTTCTCGGAAACCCACGGCCACAGCAGCGGATCGTCTCACCGCACACTAAAAATTTGAATTTGCAGACTTTTGTAAATGTAGACGTTTTATATTATGCCGAACATATATAACTAAATAAGAGTCATTACAATTTGTTCAAGAACTTCTTCCTCCCTAAGGGACACGTTCAATTTATGCTTCACTTATGCTATAGCTGCGATTTATAAATCCACAAAAGCTGCCAATGACCTGACAGAAGGAAACTGGCATTGTATCCCTCTTTCTGTTTTACTCAGCTAAGTTGTGAAAAACCTAGTTCCCAAACAATGCACTAACCTACTGTTAGGAACAATCAAGCGGAAAGAGTGAAAAAGTACGGTAAGTAAATAGTTGCGAAGCCCGCAGGGGCACAAAAAAAAGACCGGAGGCTTAGTGGTCTATAAGATCAGGAAAACTACAAAGACCCAAAATCGATGACAATGATGGATTATGGGAATCTATGTCCTGAGTGCAATGTCACATGACTCACAAATAGGCAAATATTTTTGGCACTAAAAACTTCGTTCTGTGCATGAGAGAGATAGTGAGAGCGGAGATTGCTGCTCACCATATAAGTCATTAGTAATGTCATACCATATAACTCATTGGTCATAAACTGGGAAAATAGTGTTGCCTGTGCGGAAACGCAGCGTTCCACGGGCGGGAGTTTAAGAGGAAGAAGCGATCGGAGCAAAGCCATTGTGTCGAACCGAGACGATGTGGACGCGTGTGCTCATTCTTTGTCTTCTTGCTGTCGCTGCTCAGGTAAAATTTACTATGCTTACTTAAATACTTGAACGGTCCGTCATCAAGTGGCGTGTGACTCTAGCACAAAAGTTTTCATCTTTCCCTGCCCTTCTCTCAAGACATCCACAATCTTCTAACTCGTCGATAGTGGCTGCTTCCACGAGTTCCACAAATTTATTGGATTTGGATTAGTGTTTTATAGGTGACCATAAAACACACTTTATTTTCTGCCAAAATATGCTTTTCCTATTTTGTTCAACTTTCTCAAAAATTTGCAGCAGAATTGCCGGAATAGCCTTGTTATCAAAATAACATGCCTTTTATGCTCATATTACGTGAGTTCATTGAGAACTCACAAGGGAAGTGTCAGAAATCGCAGTGGCCGTTTGAGATGGGATGGGTGGTGTGACACGTCACTCGGAAGGGCATTTCGAAAACCACCCTCGTTAGCTGCAGAACAACTCTGCAAGGGGATACGGGCGTTTTTCCGCGCGACACCCAGCGCGCCTTGCCCATGTACGACTGCCACATCCAGCCAATCGCAGCAGTGTGGCGCAGTGGCAAGTGTGCTGACCTACCGTGCGGATCTTTTGAGGTTCGAGTCCTCTTCTGGACAACTTTTTTGCAAATTATATACAAACTTCTAAAATGTGTACATTACTGACCAAAACGTGTTTTACCCCTTTACTGGTGCTTAAAAGCAAAAAAGCACACCATAATAACTTTCTTCAAAAGGAATGTCCACCAGGGACCACTTCAATAATTCAACCTCTTGATGTCTATTTCTTTTTACACTTCAAAGGAATGTATAAGAGATTTACCACACACGTTATTGCTCATGATCTTTGCTTTTCAGTCCATTCTCGTGACTGAATTCTGCGCCTTCTCTCTCTTATCTACCATCAATTCCGCCCCCTCCTTTTATAGGAACTTGCTGAAGTACTCCTGGTTCAAAGCGGGTTACATCAGCACGCATCCAGAATGCTTTGAAACATCTCTACAATACTGCTTCTCTTCAAACTTGATAGGAAACTGTGATGAAAATTGCACCAAAGTTGCCCTTATAAGATGCTCTTATTACGAAAGCTTTTTTGCTTCAAGCATTTTGTTCTAGAATACCATATATGTGACAGGAACCTCACTACAGGTTGAACGCATTTTTCTCGCTTTTTTCCACTGTATTGTCTTGCTAAATCTGACAATAAAGTATTATCTAATTGAATGCTTCACAACGCGGGCAGAAGGTCTTCGCAATAAAATCATTTTTCTACTTTTAAGCACCAATAAAGGGGTGAAACACGTTTTGGTCACTAAAGTACACATTTTAGGGATTTGTATACAAACGACAACCGATTAACCAACCAGCGCAGGAATACCGTGCTCGCTATCAACAGAGCCAAAATGTTGGCTATCCTATCAGGTAATCGATATATCGATCAGCCGTTATCACAAAGATGATTAGTGTGTTGACATTGTTATAGAGAACGTCAAGCTGTGCTGGATGAGTTTCACGACAAGATCAATGGATTGAAGGAAGGATGCTTCCCTCGACCAAAGGGTGAGATAAGAACAGCAAAATTTTATCGACGAGAAAAGCCGATTGCCACGGTTGATGCGGGCGGTGTAATTATAATTAAAAAATTGAAGTTGAACCTGCTAGGCTACGAATTAGCGCTCGAACCTGTGACGAATTCGATATAATTGGAAGTTTTTTAGGATGTCTCTGCGTAATTGGAAAAACTGCCGAAGGACGAGACATCACAGAGCGTCGTATGAGGGACGCTGACTGCCGTAGTCAATATTGGACAAGGTTTTGACAAAAATGAATAAAAACTTTCTTATTTCATAGGCAGTGATCAGACACAACTTGTTCAGAACAAACACCTCTATGTGATTCATGTGATCTGAGTTCGCTAAGCAATTGTAATCTAACAAATAAGTAACCGAGAAGTATATAATCTCCAATTTTGCTTGTGCCGAACAGTTTTGTTATGGTGTTCTTTATTCGAATGGCCTAACGTTTCGGCGCGTTCGCCGTCCTCAGAGGCCTAAAAACGGCAAAAAGCATCATCCACGACACCAGACCATCAATTGTCTCTTCTGGCTTAGCTAGTTTCGACCTCTTCCTAGTTCAATCCGCAAAAATCCTCAAAAACCGAAATGAACCAACCGTTTATACCACCGCTATGTGAAGTGTCCGCGCCGGAAGAATATGACAGTATGACCGGAATTATGTGACAGAAGCGGACAATCGAGCTACACACTATAATGGGCAGATAGAGAGTTATCTACGAAAGGCGGATAAAGTCTATCTACCATCTATAGCTGACATAGTGCTACGAACGGCAGAAAGTCGGCAGTGATGGACAAGCACTCGTTCTTGTTTAATCTCTGGACTCTTTGCCGAGATCCAGAATGCCTCTAACGCCTTTCTAGCCGAGATCTCGTTCTCGTGTGTCAAAATCGTGCATTCGATTTTGAAGTCCTTTCCATCATGTGAGTCATTCCTATGCCTACCCAGCGGTGTTACTGAACTTTTCCGTCGTTTGCTTGTCAAATGTTCCTTGATTCGCACGCTTAGTACTTTGCCGTTTCACCGATATACAGTGCGCCGCAATCAAGGCATTCGATTTGATATACGCCCCTACTATTGCGCAGCTCCCCATTCTGCCATATGGACATATTGTGCACTGTTCGGTTATACAAAGTCGATCATAGAGTCGATTTCGAACAAGTTGCTTTTTGATATTCGCATTTGGTATATTAACTAACATGACGTCATCCAGCAACTCAGCGCGAGCAATGCATTGTTAGGCAGAGTTGATCTTATCAGAGAAAAAAGGGAGGCAAAGCGGAAGTTTTTGGGTTTGTCGACCCGCTGGGTAGGCATAGGAATGACTCACATGATGGAAAGGATCTCAAACGAGTGTTTGTCCATCACTGCCGACTTTCTGCCGTTCGTAGCACTATGTCAGCTATAAATGGTAGATAGACTTTATCCGCCTTTCGTAGATAACTCTCTATCTGCCCATTATAGTGTGTAGCTCGATTGTCCGCTTCTGTCACATAATTCCGGTCATACTGTCATATTCTTCCGGCGCGGACACTTCACATAGCGGTATAAACGGTTGGTTCATTTCGGTTTTTGAGGATTTTTGCGGATTGAACTAGGAAGAGGTCGAAACTAGCTAAGCCAGAAGAGACAATTGATGGTCTGGTGTCGTGGATGATGCTTTTTGCCGTTTTTAGGCCTCTGAGGACGGCGAACGCGCCGAAACGTTAGGCCATTCGAGTAAAGAACACCATAACAAAACTGTTCGGCACAAGCAAAATTGGAGATTATATACTATGCCCAGGTTTAAAGAAATAGGAACATTCAAGTTATTAACCAAGAAGTTTTCTGCTGTTTTTGAGTTTTATCACTAGTGATGTGAAACTGTTTTATCGACAGAATTGATCTCACAACAGCAATACTCTGGATTTACAAGATTTCTTCTTTGCCATCAAATCTATTAAAAGCAATCAAAATTTATTGTAAAGGCTCATATCGACAATCGAGAAATTGTTTGTTTTGGATTCCAATTCTCGATACCAATGATCATGCACTTCTGAGCACACGCGATGCCATAGGAAAGACGACGAATTTGAAGCAATTGTTTGAAGAAATCTCCAAATGGTAGAATACTCTAGGTTCAAAACAAGTTTCACAACCGAGTAGCATCAGCTCAGCTAGAGGAGTATATGAATTGTGGAAGAAAAGTTGGATCACATCAAAAGACTCATACCACTGCTTCTAATAATGCAAAAAATAGTATCGTTTTCAGTCCATTTTGTTCAAAATCCGTCTCAGCATTACGGCTATTCCATTTTTTTTATCCGAAAGTGGAGCGCGAGAATAAATTTCTACTCTCAAATCTATTTACTACAGTGATGCTTTCTAGTTTTTGAAATAATAGAACTGATAATAGAAGAATTTCTGAGTGTATCGTTCTGCTGTTCTGAAGAGAAACCGCTACTGAACTCGGAACAGTTAAATGTAGCGCTTCGGGGGAAATTGGCGTGGGAGGGGAAGGGGAGGAGGCGGCTCAACACCCCCTGCCTCGCTCGACTGCTTGCACAGCCCTAGTCCTTCTCCTCCAAACCCTAGCATCGGCCAGCTACTACGGCTGGAACGTTAGAACTGCCCCTTATTAACAGCAAGAAGCGTCGGTAGCTCAGAACCAATCATCATGACTACAGAATACAGAAAAGAACTGACTACAAGAAGGAAGATACGAGACAAGTCCGCTTCGTCTCAAACCGTCGATAATCCCCAGGTTAATCCAAGCGATATCCACGCACGTCGACCGTTTGGTTGCCTCCGACGAGGAGAAGCACAATCTCTTTCCGCTCCCGCATTAACTCGCTGACGATGAGCCATTTTTATGGATCTGTCCCTGTAGACGAGACGTTTCCGTTCATCTCTACGCCTGGCTGCAGTATGTATGCATGCATCTATGCGTGAAATATAAAATGTGCAAGCTCCGCCCCCTGTGGCAACCTACCTCGACTAAAAATGTCGGAAATTGCCCAGATTTCAGTAATTCATGCCATTTCCGCCATTTTCGAAATCGGCGGATGCTACCAAGGGGCGGAGCCTGACTGACGGGGCGGGGCCTTGATCGAGAGTGTTTGATGTCTTCGCATACATCCACGGCCTTTCTCGTTCTTTCTCTGCACAAAAAATGATCCCTGTGAGGGCACAAGAATGGGCGGGGTCTGCCAAAGGGGCGGGGCTATCATATAAAATACATCCGAGCCTACGTTGATTATATGAACACAAACTGAGAGGATCAGACAGATTGGATTGAGATTAAGGCCGCCGCGCACCATTGCGCGGCACTGTCGTCAACGTGTTGATCTTCATATAATATAAAATACATCTCAGCCTATATTATAAAATACATCTGAGCGCTAAAGCGCGAGGAAAGTTGGGAGCTGATGTACTTGAAAACTGGAAAGTTGAGAAAGAAAGTTGGGAGTCAACCGAAAATTTCCACCAATTAGTCGCTCAACCGCCAATGCTAAGACTTCATCCGCTGGAGCTTACTTGGGGAAGCATAGCATGACTCATGAAGGTACTTGAGAAGAAGAAAATTCAAAACGAGTTCGGAAATCAAAGAGTCGCCTATTGCGTGTCGCGCGGGGATATATAAAGTTCTCGACTTGGCAACGCTCCCAGCAAGGAGAGATTGTCGCGCATACAGCATCGCGCTCGATACAGCATGCAGTGCCTCTTGTCTACCTGAATCGAGGAGAGGCTTGCATCACATTAGCCGCGATTGTATATGTATGTAGTGTGTTTTCCGTCAACTGACTTGAAAACTTGTCCACAAGCTAAAAATTAGACCGTAATTATAGTAGCATCAAGGACTAGCATGTTGGATTGCCCACATAAGTTTAGGATTTTATGGAGATGCTCTTGATAATGATTGAAGCTAATGTAACTTCCAATCTTCTTTAACCATGTGCAATGAGAAAAGTTTTTTTTGTTGATGAAGACTGCTCAAGTTGACTACTGAAGAGGGCAGACGATTGCGGACTCAGACAGTCGGTGCCGTAGCTCCGGAGGACAGTCGAAATCTGGCAGAGCCGCGGAGGACCCAATTGACCATTGAGAGCGGGGCGAGAGGGCGTCCCTTCTTGTAGGTCACGGTGACGTCACAAGCAGGCGAGTGGGACCCCTCTCCGCGACGCGCAAATCTCTGCTCCGGAGATACGCCAGATTTGGGACACCTCCGGAGCACAAAATGGCAGGGCTTCGGAGCATAAATGGGAGGGCTCCGGAGCACAAAATGGGAGGTCTCCGGAGCACAAAAGGGAGGTCTCCGGGACACGGAATGGGAGGGTAGAGGACTATATCGCCGAAAAAGGGCGGTCCCCGCAGTCATTTGCGACAAATACACACCCTTGTACAATGCGCGGACATGCGTTCCTGCAATGAATCCGCGCGGGACTTTTCCAAGTTCGGCGACATATAGTCCTTCACCCGGAATGGGAGGGCTCCGGAGCAGAGGTTTGCGCTCCGGAGGTACGCCAGATTTGGGACACCTCCGGAGCACAAAATGGGAGGGCTCCGGAGCACAAATGGGAGGTTTCCGGAGCACAAAATAGGAGGGCTCCGGAGCAGGAAATGGGAGATCTCCGGAGCACAAATAGGTACGCAGCCAATCTGCGCAGGACCACCAACTTGCACACAAGCTATAGCGTTGAAGGCGCAAATATTGTCATTCTCCGAATATTCTGTGCTCGTTTTACGCACTTTGTATTTTGCTTGTATGCTACATCTACACTCTACATTCATACATTCCGTTCTCAATTGGCACACGTATCGATTGTATCGAAAAGTACGACTACTTATTAAAGACATATCTGTCCTGGCAGAGAGCGGTCGCGCATTTAGGAGAGGCGTTTAGAAAGAGTTGTATCTCGTATATTTCAGGCGCGAGCTGTCGTAAAAGCATTTTCACAATCTATTTCTGCAATATCTTGATTGGAGCTGGTGGCCTCGGTCTTTCGCTCTTGAAATTAGCTACGTATTTCGTTGTGGGGTCTAACAGGTATGTTTGATGGGATTGATTTGATTTGATTTGATGATGATGATTTGATTTGCTGCAGATTATTCATTGTAGCTTCTGACGAGCTTCTTTCAGATTCCGTTTGATGGTTGCTGGTGCAGAGAAGAACGACTTTGCTTGGCTGAACGGAATGGAGCTGACTTTGTTGTGCAATGGGATGATCCTGGTTAGCTTTTTTTGCGAATACTTATTAGCGAATATTCTGCCCTTTGCGATTATGTGGAGCAAGTTTATCGATTTGGAATGCTGTCACAATTGGTTCTGA